AAAGAGTGAAGGACTGATTTTATGAAGCAGTTGCTTTTGTGCTGTCTGTCCTGTGTTAGCCTGCTTCGTTGCAGACCCCTGCCACGGACAGCAAAGTGACTCTCCACCAGCACTGTCCGGTCATGCGGACGTCTCCTTGGAAGGAGCATTGTCCTCTGGGTATAAATAGCCTGCCTGCTGGCAGGCTGGAGGCTTTGGGAGCATCTCTGCCGGTGTCGTGGGGAACGCTGACCCTGTTCACCTCTAGGAGGTGGTAAATGCATTGCAGGGAGTCTGCGCTGCAGCTGCTCGGGGAGCACAGATTTGTATTTGCTGACTCGTGCATCTGGTTCTTGGCTGTAGCTGCACGTCAGTGCCTCTCGCACCGAGCAGAGCAGTCGCAGACAGAGTTGTTGTTGGCCGTGTGGCACCAAGGAGACAAAAGGTGCAGAGGTGTTTTCAGGCTGCACGGGAGCACGCCCCTCGCTGGAGGTGTGCAGCCCCCGGCTCCAGCAGCCAGCCTGCCCCGCGGGCTCTAGCAGAGGGGGCCGCTGGGCAGTGTGGTGGCTCCCTGCTCCGCAGCTGAGGGGAGGGGCTGTGGCTTTGGGTATGGCTCGCAGTAAAACCAGGCTTGGGAACTGCTCTTACCAGTTCTGCAGTCCTGCTGTCCGTGGCAGTGAAGGAGTCTGCTCCCCCCTGGTTTTGGCTGCCCTGAATCTTTGTTTTCTTATGAGCCTACCTCCGCTCTGAAGATAAGCAGGGGAGGGAGAAGGTGGTTCTGGGGCCACTGCCAGGGACTGATAGGGGATTTCTCACAGAGAGACCTGCAGCTGGGGTCAGTGTTGTGCGACTGGGAGAGGTGGAGGCTGCTGAGGCATCAGCCCAAATTTGTGATGGGATTGCAGTGTACCCAAATGCTTCTCTGTGCTGCAGCATCGGGTTGTCCCTCTCTTCTTGGGAAAGGTTGGGTGCAGAACTTTGACGGGAACCCGGATGGGATGTCTTTCCTGGGAAGCAGAAAAAGCCTGGAGAGGTGTGAGGGCAGCAGCGTTCTCCTGTCCCGCAGGGTGCCCCGTGAGGCCCATCATGGAGGCAAAGTCTTTCCTGCCATCCTTGCTCAGGGTCGTGTGTTCTGGAGCTGGTACTCCTTTGGGTCCTTGGGGGCACCTGGCACCTGGCAGGGCTCTTGTCCCGGGAAGTTCCTTGCCGTGCCTGGGTTCCTGCAGGAAGGGCGTGTCGGAGCGGGTGCCCGACGAGGGCGGGGTGGGGAGCGAGGGGCACGGTGCCAGCTGCTGAGTCAGCGTGGCTGAGACCCGGGCTGCTGCCTGACAGGCTATTTTTAAAAATGTGGCTTCTCTCTATTCTGTCTCCTCCTATTATTTTTTTTTTTATTTATTTCTCCCACCCCAAGCAGAAAAAAAAATCCGGCATTACCCTGAAGCCTCCCTGGGAGTCGGGGTGCGGAAGGGCAGCAGTTCCTGCTCAGGGGCACTCATCTGCTGTTGGGTCCAGCTTAGTTGGGTGCCTGTTGAATGTCGTCCAAGGAGCGGGGAGCGCGATGTGCGGCAGCACGTGGCGTTGCTGCTGGACCCTGCCACAGGAGTGCCACAGGCTCCGCTGCATCCCGGAGGCTAACCTGACCTTCCTTCCCTTCCAGAACCTGACTAACAAGGCTGTCGTGTTATGACGACCCCCAACAAAGGAAACAAGGCCTTGAAGGTAAAGCAGCGGGTTGAGGAAAGGGGTGCAGGTGGCGGGTGCAGGTGGCGGGTGCAGGTGGCGGGTGCAGGCGCCTGCTCCAGGTTTCACAAGCGTGCGCTGCCTTCTCTTCCAGGTGAAGCGGGAGCCAGGTGAGAATGGGACCAGCCTGACAGACGAGGAGCTGGTGAGCATGTCTGTGCGGGAGCTGAACCAGCATCTGCGGGGGCTGTCGAAGGAGGAGATCATCCAGCTGAAGCAGCGCCGGCGCACGCTGAAGAACCGGGGCTACGCGGCCAGCTGCAGGGTCAAACGTGTTACCCAGAAGGAGGAACTGGAGAAGCAGAAGGCAGAGCTGCAGCAAGAAGTGGAGAAGCTGGCCTCTGAGAACGCCAGCATGAAAATGGAACTCGATGCTCTCCGCTCCAAATATGAGGCTCTCCAGAACTTCGCCAGAACCGTGGCCCGAAGCCCCGTGACCCCTGCACGAGGGCCTCTCACCGCCAGTATGGGGCCCCTTGTCCCTGGCAAGGTTGCTACTACTAGTGTCATCACGATAGTGAAATCCAAAACGGACGCCCGGTCTTAGTGAAGCGAGCGTTGCCTGAGCTTGTCTGTGCAGGGCAGTTAGGCACAAAACCAGCCTGGAATCCCCAAAGCACAAACCCTCCCCACATGGGTCCGGGTTCCTTCTACTTGGCCCAGGACTGGCCTGCTGATCACTCCGGTTTTGTTTCGTTCTGTCCAGATTGGTATGAGCAGTGGTGACGCGTCCCTTGTCCTGTGCAGTCAGAGCTTCCCACCCGCTGGTCCGCGGCCCTCGGGCACCCCTGGGACAGACTGCAAGACCTTGGTTTTCTAGCCAAAGAAAGTCTGCGTGGCGTGGCCAGCGGCAGGGCTCGGGCGGGGCTCGG